CATAATAGAAAATTGATGTAGAAGAATAGCACCAGGCGATTCCATTTTAATGACAAAAAACTTGCAATTAGCGGATGCATCAGCAATTGCTTGTGTTCTTTTGATTTCGAAATATATTCGATGCTTGTCATTTCATCTGTGATACTGTCGGTGTGGTGATGATGAAGTGGAATTAAATTTTTATAGTCAAACTCAATCTCAAAGCTATCATCACTCCGTCGAAATTCATTGGTTGTGATGCAAGAGTCGAAATGCTTTTCAAGCACCTGTGGATTTATATTCCAAATTGATAATCGATTGTGAACATTTTGCACTCCGACATACGCGCCATGTTTTAATAGCTCAAGAATAGCTCGGGAATTATTGAATTTGACCGCATAATGCAGAGCCGTACTATGATTCATATCCATTTGATTCACATCGATGTTTCGGTGACTGAGAAGCATTTCAAAGCATCTTTCGTAGTCACAAACTTTCGTCGGTTTTTCACCCAAATTCTTCACGGTGATGGGTAATAAAGGAGCCGAATTCAAATCCAATTCAGGTGCTCTCAAAAGTATTTCCAACGATCGCCAGTGACCACGAATGCATGCACATTTTGCCGGTGACATTGTGTCTCTCGTTGTATCAACAAAGAAATTAACATCAGCGCCGAGCTGGAGCATTTTCTTTATGGCCAACACCAAATCTTTTTCAACAGCCACAATCAGTAATGTCTGTCTGCTTTCGGCGGCTGTAAATAATTCTTGCATTGTCATCGGGTTTTGCTCAGCCACTTGTTGAATTCCCTGCAGAAATTCATCTTCTTGTTCATTTTTCAATGCGAGAAATAGATGATTAAAATTCCATTGTCTATGCGACGATGTACTATTTGGCAGTGTGGTTTCAGTTGATTTTGGCATCAACTCAATTTCGGGCAGTGATTTTTGGAGTAATTTTCGTGCTTCACCATTTCGATGCGAATCGATATCAACTTCAACCACATTTTGAAGTAAATATTTTACAATCACTTCTTTATTGGCCGCACTTAAATTACGATTCTTGAGAATGTGTACGATTGGGGTTGTCTCTCGCCAATCTGGTACGTTTACATCCGCTCCGTGTTGAATCAATAATTTAATACACGGAAAAACGTTTCGAAAATTTTCGTTGGTTATCTGTTCGGCAAGCGAATTAACGGGTGTTTTAAGCGATGGCCCCTTTGAATTCACGTCTACACTTGGATCTCGTAGCAATGCAGCCAAATTATCGACGCAATGCGAATCAACAACAAAATTGATTGGTCGCTTATTGAGTTCGGAATTCAACTGTAAACAAAAAATTGAAAAAAATTACACTTTGTTTGATTGAAAGGAAAATGAAATCGAAAATATACCTTATTCACATCGCAACCGGCCAAAATACACTCTTCAATGAATTGGGCACAGTTGGGCGTTTGACACGCCTTTTCAAATATCGTCATCGACGACTCGATGTCACGCTTTTCAACTTCCGTGGGGGAATGTAGTGCACGACGAAATGAATCTATATCATGATTTGACAGCGCATTGGCAAGACTCTGTTCAATGTGAAAAGAAAAACCATTTAATTGGAGGAAACAATGCAAACCAATGAACAATGCTGATGAGAAGTTCAAGGTTAACTCACTTGATGGTCACCGTAGCACACTAACGGATGTTCTTCCATTTTTGAGATTTGCAAACAAGTTTATCTGAAAAAACCAGAACAAATTATTATTTTATGGAGTTATTTTTTTTACACATGCCATATTGCATGACCCACACTGTGTATACACACTTATAGCAATTAACAGTGTCGTAGAAGATTTTTTTCTCACTTTATTCAATGAATAAATTTCATTGTTTCGTGCTGAGTGGTATTTTTTTATTTTTAAGTCCATACGATATTCCCAATGTGACTCGCTATTTTTTTCGATAAGAAATGTACAATATCATACATATAGAAATTCTTTTTGATTTAGATAACAGTCTGTTTAAATATGAATTAAATTCACTGTTCCCAAGCAGTAGCACCCACTTGACTTATCACCATACTGTAATTTATTCTCATGCAATCACTTTTCGTAAAATATTCTACGATATGATTTAATATTATGAGCATGAAACATACTCCTTTTTCATAATAATTACCGAAAAATACACAAAATAAGATTTCAATCAATTTCTCACAAAATATTGTTTTTCATTGAAGTCAGTTTTGAATTGTCGACACGATAATTTTTGCTTGTTTCTACGACTTCTCTTTAACATCACTCAACGTCACAATTTTTCTACTTCTTCACAAAGAGACAGCTCACTTCCATTTCATAAACACAAAAAGCGTTTTAGTCGTTCCAAAAGAGATTGTCGCCATTTGTTTGTTCGAAAAGTAGTCACGAATTTATGTCCTCTTGGCGATTTGGGTCAATTGCACATTACATCGAAGCCAAATGGAAATGCTTAGAAAATTGAAAATCTTATGAAGCACGAAAAAAACGAAGTAATTTTATGAAATTCGAGTAAGTTCGTTGCGAGCAAGTTGAATGGTAAAAAGGCAAAACGGCACTGCCAGGGTAGCTTATAACATGAATACATAAAGCCAACACAATACACCAATTAATATGGAGAGAAGTGGGAGCGGAGCGTGGAAAACGAATATGACTCACAATGGCAATGAAAATAGTAACGCTGACAAATGCGTGCTTTATACGTCGCACACACAATTTTTATAATACATTAACTTTCATGCGAAATCGATTTTATGAACAATCTTTGAGTTTAACAACATTTACTTGAAAATTGTTGTAGTTTAAGTTTGTTTCAGACGAATCGATTGCCAAACATTATGACGCCGGCAAGTCTTATCCTAGTCAATGGATGACATCACTCAACGCAATATACATTACATTCGATGAGCGGCAGAAGAGTGTGCAGCAGCTTTATGTTCAGTTTTTGTGGAAAAAATAAGACGCAGAATGAGAAAAAAGGCAATGGAAAACAATGGACGAAAAATGAATCGGTTACATCTCAT